AGCACTTGGTCTATGGCCATGAATGTTACAACATTTCAAGTGCTCATCCATGTACTTTTTAAGGTTGGTGAGGTTTCCCACCTAGGCAGTGCATTCCAGATTCCCACCACCCTCTAAGTGTAAAACAATTTCCCTCCTCATTTCATCCAAAGTTATTCCCCCTTGTTATAGACCTATCAACTAAGGAGAATAGCTGCTTTCTATCCACTCTGTTCATATCCCTCATAATTTTATACACCTCATTCAGGTCTCTCCTCAGTCTTCTCTGCTCCAAAAAAAAACAGCCCAGGCTTATCCAGTTTCTCTTCATAGAACAGTTTAGTTATCTCAGGCAACATCCTCATGAACCCCTCCAATGCAGTCACATCCTTCCTTTAGTACAGTTACCAGAATTACACACAATATAACTAAAGTCCTGTACAGCTCCAAAATAGCCACCTTGCTCATAAAATCAGTGCCACAACTGATAAAGGCAAGTATCCCATATGCTACCCCATTAACTTGTCCTGCCACCCTCAGTGGACATGCACCGCAAGATCCCTCTGTTCCTCTGAGCTTCAAGTCTCCTACCATTGACTACTCCCGTGTCTTATTAGTCCTTCCAAAGTACATTACCTTACACTTTTCAGAGTTATAATCCATCTGCCACTGATCTGCTCATCTGATCAATCTATCTATATCCTCCTGTAATCTAAAACTCTTTCCTTGCTGTCAACCATCTGGCTGTATTTGTAACATTTGCAAAGTTACTTATCATCTCCTCAACCCCTGACCCCCACCCCCCACCCCCAACCTCGTACCAATAAACAGTATAGCCTACTGAAGTCAATTGATAAATCTATTACTGATGTAAGTCTAAGTGCAGCACAACCTCGTGATCAAATAGCTATGACAGATACAAGACCAGGCATGCAGCACTCAAGTCAGACAACCCAGACGGAGACAGAAATCCCGATATGACCTCCGAAAAGCCATCAGAGATGTCAAGAGGCAGTACTGGACAAGTTAGAAGCCCAAATCAACCATACGGACCCGCACTGCCTGTGGCAAGGTCTACACAACATAACGGAATACAAAATGAAGAAAAGCAAGATAACGGACAAAAACACACCCCTCCCTGACATGCACAATGCTTCCTGTGCTTAGTTCAAGCAGAATGACAGCAGCGCGGTCTCACTTGCCCCGGATGCACCTGTTCCCTCCATCACCGCTGTAGACATCAGATCGGTCTTCCTGAGAGTCAACCCAAGGAAAGTGACTGGCCTAGATGAAGTCCTTGGCTATGAGAACCAGCTGGAGGAGGTATTCACTGACATCTGCAACCTCTCCCTCCTACAGGCTGAAGTCCTTACCTGCTTCAAGAAGACCACCATCATTCCAGTACCAAAGAAAGCACGTGCATTGTGGTTTAAATACTACCCCCCAGTGACTCTGACCTCCATAATTATGAAGTGCGTCGAGAGGCTGGTCATGGCCCACGTCAACTTGAGCCTCCCAGCCTGCTTCGATCCTTTGCAATTTGCCTACCGTGTAACAGGTCCACAGCAGACACCAATTCCCTAGCCCTGCACTCATCCCTGGAACATGTGGACAACAAGGACACCAATGTCAGACTCCTATGCATTGACTGCAGCTCCACCTTCAAAACCAAAGTCCCCTCCAGACTAATCTCAAAATTCCAAAACCTAGGTCTGATCTCCACCCTCTGCAACTGGATTTCAGCTTCCTGACCCACAGCCCACAATCAGTGAAGATAGATAACCGCAATTCTTTCACGATAACACTCAACACTACGACACCCCCCCCCCCCCCCCCCCCCCGCCCCTCCTCCCCCCCCCCCTTCCCTCCCCCATCCCCCCCCCCTCTCACACACC